CATCTCTCCACTTCTTCAAGGACCTGCCTATCTTCTGTACCTTCAACCTCTCTCCCTGCCCTAAGCCTCTCCATCACCAGGGTCATCAGTGATCTTCAAGTGGCCAAGCCAGTGGACACCACTACCCTCTCCTAATTTGACCTCTCTACGGCTTATGACCATTCCTCCTTCAAACTCGCTCCTCCCTAGGTGTCTCTGTCTCTTTCTTGATTTTCCTTCTATCTCCTGGAAGAGGTTCTTTTCCACCTTCTTTCCATCCATTTCGCTCTGCCCACCAGTTAAATGTTGTAGGTCCCCAGGGCTGTCTGTAGGATGGCTCCAAGATCATTGAGTTAGCTGATCAGGAGCCATCTTAGACTAACCTAAAGCAAAACGTTTAAGTTTTTTTAAGCAAAACAATTCTCTTATCAGTCCCTTCCTTTCCAAGCCCACTGCCTAGTTCGGACCTTCATCATTTCCTGCCTGGACTATCTCAAAAACCTCCTATGGGGTCTCCCAGTTCCCAGTCCTGCCTATTCTAGCCCATTTCCCATAATGCAGCTGAAAATTGGTTCAAAATTATAAATTGACCACATCACACCTCTGCTTAAAACTCTTTAGGGGTCCTAGGCACTGAGGTCACCTTTTAGCAAAATAACAGATTGGCTCGCAAAATAAAGAATATCACTCATGAGTACTGTACCCCCTTTAAAAAATCATCTGTATGATACCAAGTGGTTAACAATTACTTTAAAACAAAGATGAGAATGTAAGGGGGCAGGGAAACTAGATTAATGGAGACGGAACAACCAAAACGGAAATAATGAGAATATTCACATACTGTAAAGAATGTAACCAATGTCACTGAATCATTTGTATAGAAATTGTTGAATGGAAACCTAAACTGCTGTGTAAACCTTCTCCGAGAAACACAATAAAATATTTTTTAAAAAACAAACTCTTCAGGGGTTCTCAGAGCCCCTAGGATAAAACTTAAATTCGTAGAGTGCGTCCCTGCTCCCCTTCCTCCCCCATCACACTCTTATACCCTTCTGCCATGCCAAACAGACCACGTCTTAGCCATCTACCTCCCAAATGCCTCGCGCAGTTCCTGGTTCATAAAAGAGGCACATTCGTTCTTGGGGGTTCTTAGTCATCCTCTACCATTTAGTCCTCTCAAAACAAGTAAGCTGTTATGGAAAGAATGGATGAGCGGATGAATGAATGAATGATCAGTGTTACCAAGTCTTACAGGTTTCCAGAATCCCTCTGCCACCTGCTGTGCCCTGGTCCAGATGAAGACATCTCCCGTGCACTCCTACAAACAGTCACTGTCCTGAATACCAGGCTCTTCCTTTTCAGCCCCTCCTCTCACCCTGCACCTGACTGATCCCCCAAAACAGAAATCTGACCACACTCCTGTCCTGATCCTTTGATACACGCGACAACATGGATGAACTGGAAAACATCGTGCGAAGCACAGGAAGCCAACCACAAAAGATGGCATACTGTATGATTCCATTGATGTGAAATGTCCAGAATAGGTGAATCCATAGAAACAGAAAGAAGATTAGTGGTTTCTTAGGGTTGGGGAGGATGGGGAAGTATGGGGGTAACCACTAAAGGATACGAGGTTTCATTCTGAGGTGATAAATATGTTCCAAAATTGACTGGTGATAGTTGCACAAATCTGTGAATATACTAAAAAACACTGAACCGTACACTTTAAATGGGTGAATTGTATGGTATGTGAATTATATCTCAATAAAGCTGTTTTTAAAAAACTACAATGGCTTCCCACCCCCCATTAGCAAGCCTCAGCTGCCACTTAATTACTCTTACTGTGTAGGAGCACTTACTACGTCCTGGGTGTTGTTCTTCAGCACTTTGTGTGGCTCATCTCCTTTCAGCCTCACACAGCTCTATAATGCAGGTGTTAACGGTTATACCCATTTTGCAGATGGGAATACTGAGGAGAAGAGAGGTTTGAATGACCTGCCCAAGGCCACACAATACCATGCGGTTACGTCTAGCATGGGCACTTCTCAAAGTGTGTTGTAAGAATCTGTTTACAAGCTTATCTCCCCCTGGACTGGAGGGTCCTGGAAATTGGCAATGGTGTCTGGTTTATCACAGTGTCCTCTGCACCGGGCCCAGTGGCCCCTAGGCCTGATCCAAGGACTTTAAAAGGGCATAGAGATGCACTGGGGTGGGGTCAGTGGTCTCACAGGATTGACAAAGGCAGCTTCT